GAAATTTTCTTTGAACTTCTTCAAGTCTTTCACTCTGCTTAGGTCGCATAAAAAAATTAATTAATTGTTTAATTCTCTTAACCAATATTTTTGCTAGAATTAGTTCTCTTGCGATTACAAGTTGTAATGTATATGATATACAATTTAGCTAATTGATTTTTTCCATATTCAATATAGCATTTTTCACATTACAGCCATTATCTGTAGTAATAATAAACGTCTTATCCTGAATTTTCCATTTAGCCATGATATTTCCTAATATTTCACTTATATGATCAGCTGTATAGGGATATCAGATATATTTTATTGTAAGGACGAACTTACACCATTTATAATCATTATTAATAAAAGAACAAGTAATACCGAGATAACCCTGACGGCTACAAGCTGTCTATAAATCTATACATAATGATATTGAGATTGCTTCATTAATTAATTTTTCTTTGAGGATTGGCAAACTATATTCATAGGCAGTATAAATTAATTTTTTAACCGTTTCCTCACAAGGCATAATAAAAGCAGGGTCTAAATCATTAATGAACTTGCAGAATGCCTCATTGCTTACAACATAAATTGCCTGTGAATCTTTTATAACCCATGTTGTAAGTGACTGTCTTAATTGATTTTGCCGGGCCTCAGAATGTTTTTTAATATTTGATACACCTTGCTTATTATTCTATTAATATTAATGAATTAACTATATAATTAGTAATATTACGTAAAAATATTAAATATTAACTAATCTAGTAATAGACTTAATTACGAACTTTAGTTTTTCCTTGTTTGGTTATTTCATACGCATTTCGGAGATTGCATTTCCTGTTGATCCGCTAGTATAAACATATGATGTATTACAATTAGTATTATCATCATTTTTTTCTTGGCAAACAATTATTAAGATTTCTTTTCCATCTACGTCTCTAATTTTGGTTTCCTTGAAGTGCTACCAGATCCAACTAATCTTGGAGCATTTTTTATTTCTGTCTAAAGCTTTTTTTTTTTGTTTGAAGACTTGATTGAAGTAGAATTATTGAAATGTTTTTCTGATATTTTGAAAAAATAATACTGAAGAAAAAAAACCCTGACAAATAATATACATATATATATTTATAGGCCACTAAATAACTAATAGTGCTTTATTACGTTCATAGTCTTAAAAATATTACATATGATATATTATTATTATTATCCTGTTTATTAATCATAAAGCAGGTACATTGTATACAGTAAATTAATATCCAGATCTAAAGATACAAAGATTGATGTTAAAATTAACAGGGATAGTAATTTAAGTCTGGATATTAATATAGACAGTCTTTATTGTTATAGAGCTTCAGGACTTTTTAATTGATTATTTATTGAACGAAATCCTTGACCCTCTCGATCAAATTTGTTTTATTTTAAATGAAATTATATCAATTTAATCAACATTAGGATTGAACGTTAGGATGATAATTAAATAGGCAAGTATGTATATACATATAATACCTGGTCTAATTAAAATTAACAGAGATAATAATTAAGTCTAGTTTAATTAGGCAGGACATACATAATATCTGGGTCTAAATCGACATATAGTAAACAATAGCCACCACTACGCTATTGCCCATTAAACTGTTTGATAGTCTTTAACAATAGACATAAAAACCCCCGCAATTGTCTTGCAGTTTATCCAATAGTTTAAAAATTTTCTGTATATACATTAGGGTTGGGGGCACAGGAAATTTTTGGAGCATACCCTCCTGGGTATGCCTTTGTCTAGGGCATGCCTTTTGTGCTCTGGGCATACTCCTATAGATTATATGATTAGCTAATCAATAACGAATCAAATTAATTAACTTGTTTCATTGTTCGTCAGCATTGACTAATAGAATCATGACACGTTATCACGTGTCGAGTTAGTACGAAACTAAAAGCATCAATAATTTGTCTTTATTTCACATTATTTTTTTCTAACAACCACGTTC